TATAAGCGAAAAAATTAGTATGTTAAAAACATAATAATTGATATGTGAAATGTCTCTACAATGTAGTAACTCATGTTGGTATTGACTTATCGCGACAATTGAAAAAGCAATTGATTATTTTTTATTATTTAATATATATATATATAAATATATGTTTAATATATATATATATATAATTTACAATCTTATTATATTGTCATTTAGTATAAATTAAATTTACTATGTCAATAATAAAATATCTTTTATTTCCGGTGACCGATTTATGGGTCAATGACACAACTGAGCCGAGTGACCAAATGGGCCAGTTCGACCATACCATATTGATTATTAAACTAAATTTTAATATTAAAAATACTTTATTACAATAAATGTAATTTAGTTCATACTGCAAATAATCATATTAAGAATGCCTTCATATAAATACTAGTGCAGATCCCGTGCGATGCACGGGTTGCACAAAATTTAGGCCATTTATTAAGTCTTATAATTATATAAATGAATAAAGAAAAATGTATGGATATATATAGTACGTGACCTGTAATAGGCCAAAATGTGAACACAGGTGATGCACGAGGTGCACAATTTTAAAGTCATTTATTAGAATAGAGTTCGTGCGATGCACGGGGTGCACAATATTCTAGTATGTGTAATACAAATACATACCGTATGCACGGGACATAAGCACTAAATGAGTTATTTCCACAGAGCTTGCCCGTTAAATAGCTCCTGAACATGGGTGCACAATTTGTAGTACGTACTATAAAATCAGAAAAGATTTTCATACAATTAGATAATATATTAGATAATAAATAAAACCTTTTTTATTTTAGTAAAGATTTTACGTACTTTTTTTTACTTATCGGATGTTATGGATTTTTTTTGTTAAACCGATTTTATGGGATATAATACAAATACAATTAAAGAATTGAACAAAATCAGAACAGATTTCTATACAATTAGATAATAAGAAGGAATTAGATAACGAAAAGAAGAAATTAGATAAAGAATTTTGAATTTACATTTTTTTAGTATAGATAGACTTTACGTACAAATTTTGACTTCACCAATTTTATGAGA